CTTTCTTCATAGAGCTTAGCTCCCTGATCATCCTCATAGCTCTTCTCTGAATCTCTTCTAGTTTATCTGAATCCAGCTTAAGAATCATTCTTAAAGTGTGATACCCAGAATGGAACTCAGTGTTCAAGATGGCATCTAAATAACACTGAATGCAATAAACTAGTTGATGCAGCCTAAAATTGCATTAGCCTCTTTTGCAGCATATTATATTGTCACTCTTAGTCAGCTACAATTCCAAGATCTTTTTCGTATCATTTCTTTAACTGACCAAGGCAATTTTGAATTGTATTTGTCCTTTAGAGTATTAGTTCTCCCACTTTGTGTCCCCTGCAAATTTGTAAGTCTTTCATCCACTTCTCATCCAAGTCATTAATAAAAATGTTAAAAAGTAGGACTGAACATGGTGTTATTCCACTTGGTGCCTCCCTGAGGATGAAGAATTTTTGATATGCAGTCCTTAAATTTGATTTTCAATCCAGCAGTATATCCACATAATTGTCATGCCATGTAGCCCATGTGAAACTAGCTTGACAAATACTTGCTGAAATGATAAAATATATGTATGTCTATAGCAGCTCCATAACATGCTAACATAAGCTAACTAATCAAAAAATGAGTGGTTAGTCTGGTAAGATTTGTTCCTGATAAATCCATACTGATCTCTGGTAATCACCTCATTGTTCTCAAGCTTCTCAAGAAATCAGTCACTTTGTGATTTGCTCTACAATTTTCCTGGGTATCAATGTCAAATTGACTAATTTCCTGGATTCTCCTTTTCTGAAGGCAGGATTTTAGGATTCATGAAAGAAAATACATATAGGTTCAGCTAGACAATCATTAAATTGCTTCATAGAATATAGTTTAGCTGGCCCTGGAAATGTACATTGGTTCAAAGTAAGTAGATAGTCCCTGACCATGTGTTTTTTAAAAACTTTCTCAAGCTTCAATTATGCCCTTTTAAGATGCTCTTCCCAATTACTTTTTTGAACTCAGATTTTGTTGGACAATACAGAGCCAAAGTAGGAATTGAGTAGCTGTTGTGAGTGTAGTCTGTGCATCAGACTGCAGGCTCAGACTCACAATCCATATCCCAGTAGGGAAGAGATAGCTTTTCGTCATGTAGAGTGAGATCACTACAGCACTTCCCTCAGCTGGATATAAAAAAGAGTTTTGAGAAACTTGGGGTAGACATCTGTAGACAGAGACTGAGCAAAGCCTCTAATTATCATGCTGGAATCTCCAAGAAGCTGGAGATGACCAGGAAATTGAAACAAAGGACCATTTGCTTCAGTAAATCTTTTATTTCTGCAGAAGTAGGTGAATTTGTGTTGTTTCTGATTTCTGGTTTTTGTGTTGGCTAAGTTATGGAATTGGGTGTTTAATTTCCATCGTCATCCTTATGTCAAACTAGGTGCATGAAGATATACTTTTTTTTTTTTTTTTAGAATCATACAAACTGATGTTTTGAACTCTGTCCCTATGATCTGTAATGTTTTGGACAGACCAGTGTAGTAGACTAGTGCCACACTATGGTCTGTTTGGAGTACTGAATTTCTCTGGGATTTTCATTTTTTACATAATTTGCAAACTACTGTATTACTGTGATCTGGGCAGCTCTGTAATTATCTCCTTTCACATCGAATATTTATGTAATTCTTAGACTTACACAGTAGGATGTTGTTTTTTTTACATTTCATCTTTTTTAATATCATAGTTGCTTTTTGTTTCTCTTTCATGAGATCAATCCCAAGGGGGAAAGAAAAGACTGAATTTTCTAGGTAACACTTTCTTTCATTACTCCAGATATTATTGCCAGCATTACAAAACCTATTCACTTGGATTTCTTAGCAGGGGTGGATATTTTTGACATACAGGGTACCTCCTCTTCCCTCTCTGTTGCTTCTGTTCCTCTTGAAGAAGTTGCATCTTTCAGTTGCAGTACTAAGACCTTGATTATTTCTCATATTCTGAGCAGTACTGGAAAAACAACAAAAGCCATGAAGTTTAAGTGCTAACATTTTATTGTGTGTTTAACAAGCCCATTGCACGTTATTAAACAGACGAGTCCTTGTATAGTTCTCAAGTCTTTATCTGGAGTCTTTACTTCAAAGTTTCACGTTCAACACCTCTCATGTTCAAGCTTTCCATGTTTTGGCCAACTTCTTTTGCTAGTCCATGTATGGTGCAGCCTATCTTATGCTGGCACTCCAATATTCAGATGACTCAGACTACAGTCCCAGAAACCAAATTTCTCCCATTGATATTTTGAAAGCCACTCATTTGCAGTATTTTTCTTTCCCAGTCCTCTTCCACAGGGGTAACCATCTGATCTTCTAATAATTTTAGTTTTATTTGTAGATTTTAAAAAACCATGGTGATGGGTTGTACCTATTCTTGGCAGTATCATTTGTCCTGCACTTGGATTACCAGGAAAGAGGAATGGACTTCATACATCTTAGAAGTTCTGTCACGATCCATGACATGGTAAATGGCTTACTTCATGTGCTGATGGATACACTCAGTACATGTTTGTTTCTTCTTCCCAATAGTGGTTAGTATCCAAGTACTTTCTCTTTGTCTTCTTGCAGGGTACAGCTACATCCTCTCTGCCTTTCAAGGGTATGCTATTGTACTGTTTGTTCCACAATATCATCTTCTTCCTTTGAAGGCTCAAAGCCAGTTTCTGCTGTAAGAACTTCAAAGCTGTTTCTGAATCCTAATGATGAAGAACATCTTACATGTCTTGCTTGTGGTTGTCATTCTTACCTGCTGTACCTGCTCCTTTATTTATATTTCTTCCATATGGAGAGCTATTCTTTTGTTGATTGCTGTTGCATTACCTCCTTTGTTCCCAAAAAAACTTTGTTCTTTCTTATGAATGGTAATATGGTCACTGCTGCTCCATTTCTTACCTTAAAAATTAGACTTCTTTTTGAACACACTTCAGCATAATACCTGAATATTAATTAGGAAAATAGTATTTTAGGGCCCTAATATTTATTTATTTATTTTTATTTATTTATTATTGAATTTGTATGCTGCCCATCTCCCCCAACGGGTGATTCTGGGTGGCTCACAATTAAAATAAAAAACCCATAAACAATTAAAAATACCCCATAAATAATTAAAATCAATTAATCCATTAAAAGTCAACTATAAAACAAACCTATACCTACGGCAAAAAGCAGTACGTTGGGTGGTAATGAACTTCTAAAGATTTATGTGTTCCGTATTTATAATGAGCCATGTTAAGGTGCCATTTCTGGGGCAGTAAAGATTCCCCCCCCCCCTCAAATTAGTGGATTGTTTGTGTTTCATTACAGGGCTGAGTAGAATACTGGCTCTGTTTTAATAATTGTTAAAGGATTAGGAGTATAGCTCAGTAAAATTTCATTCTTGAGACACAATCGTATAATGGCGTGATTATATAACATGCTTTATGTGTTGTAATCTTGCCTCGTTGCCCTTTATGCATCCCTTTGAATTCTGGAACGGGGTGAAGGGAAAACTCTATCAAATACTTTAGCTAAAAATATCAGGCCAGGATTGTACAGATTATTCTGTGGTAGACTGATACGCTGTTTAGTTCTTCCAGGACCCCTTCCTATATAAGAAGATTCATAGTTAACAGGAGCTCGAGTATAATTTTTTTAGTTTTATACTTTTGTTGTTGTTGTTTGAAGTTTGGTCGAGTGGTGAAGGCACCAGGCCAGAAAGCAGGAGACGGTGAGTTCTAGTCCTGCCTTAGGCGTGAAAGACAGCTGGGCGACTCTGGGCCAGTCCCCCTCTCTCAGCCCAGCCCACCTCACAGGGTTGTTGTTGTGGGGAAAATAGGAGGAGGAAGGACTATTAGGTATGTTTGCTGCCTTGAGTTATTTATAAAAATAATAAAGGCGGGATAAAAAAATATTTTTAAAAATCCTTTGTTTCCTATCTTTCTTCTGTTTCTTTCTACATTCTTAATTAACTAATTAAGTTTCAATATGAATCCTCATAGAAACTTACTGGGACAATGTACTATGGGCCTTCCCAGAGTACCCCATCATGCAGGATAAGGCCATGCTGTGATCTCCCTCAATTCATCAGTGAAATAAAAGTTTCTGCTGCCTGAATTGGCATGTTGGTTCCACTGGGTTGCTGGCTTATTGGTGCAGATAGGCTTGGGGGCTCTCGGGCACTCAGTAATCTTCAATTCTGCACTAATACTATAATAACTGTTTTTTAAAATTATTTTTATTATTATTTTTCCAAGAGAAGATTGCTTATATTGGTGGTCTTTAAGTATCCTATTTTTAGGGTTCATGTTCCAATGAGGAATCCTTAACGCGCCTTCTGTAAAATCTTTCTACAGTATTGCAAAAAATTAAAGCCTTATTCCAGTCCCCTTCGCCTTATTCTACATAGATGTTATTTGCTGGTTGCTTTCATTTACTTCTGCATTTTAATTAAAAAATGAGGTTTTACTTCAGCGTTCTTTTTGCCAAGATCCTTCTTATCAATGACAAAGGTGGGCTTTGATGGTGAAAGTCTTTCCTTCCCAAAGTGAAAAAAATTGGAGTATTTCCTAAAATATATCAAATATTCTGTTCTCTCTGGGAAATCCAGGAATTCCTCAAACACAGTTTGGAAATCTGGAAATGAATTGAAAATTTTTAAAGAAGGCTCAACAAGGGCTAATTTACCAAATCTGAAAATCCCAATATAATAAGATACGCTTAACAAGAAGTGTACAGTCACCTTGGTTAGTGTTATAACTAAGCTTAAATCCAGTATGGTTAGATTAGTTGCCTGTGCCTCTAGCAGCTTTCCCCAACCTCTAGTTTGCGGTTAGACCTAGTCCTCAGCTAGGGGATGGCTGGTTATGATAGTGGCTTTTTAGAACAGAAGTTAAAGCAGGTCTTCAAATAAACTTTGCTTTGTCATCTAATCAGCATTTAAAAAATGAAATTGATGTGTTTTGATTAATGTTACTTGGGTTTTTTATCTTTTATTACCTAAAGGTCATTTCATGGGCAACAATACAGTGATAGATGTTTTGAGGAGAGAAGGATATGAAGTAGACCATACATCTGCTGGACAAGCAATCAGGTAACAACTGCTTTAACAATCGTGATCTTAAGTACCTTCAGGAAACACAACATGGTAGAAAATGCATTATGGAGTTAACTGTGCTCTTGTTCCAGGATTTGAAAGCACATGATGCTGCCACTTTATTCACGGTAAAAAGGTGTGACCTGGTCACTGGCAGAATGAAAGGCCTCCCTTTTCAGTTTCCCGCTTCCTCCCCTGCTCCCCATGTATAGTGCCTCAAGTTCTCTGATGGAAGAAACACAGGGTGTATATTGTCTCAATAGCACTACCATATAGAAGCTTAATATTGGTAAGATGAGGGAAGAAAATATAATCATGTCTCTATAGCCATCATGCAGTACAAGTTTCATGAAATAGTGTTTCCAATTTACTCTGAATGGGCAACATTCTAAAACTGATGCAGGATATAATTTTCTTCCGGATGACACAAGTATTGCTCTTCTCGGAGGGCTATCTGTCTTCTGTCTATCCATGGTAACTGGAAGTGACTTTAGTGAGTTGCTCTGTGCTTCAACAAGCTTATATCCCTCTCCAAACTTCGCTTCCTCACTTGATGAATGAAGTGCCAAGTTATGACTTCCATATGTGAATAAATTTTCACAAATACAGTGGGCTTGTCAGATCCTATATATCGTTTGGCATTTACACAGATAGCAACACCACAAGGTTTCATATCAACCCAAAAACAATCTTTTCAGAGGATGAAAGCTGACTTACACATTCCAGAACAACTTGTGCAACGTAGAGCAGCCAATGATTTCAGAAGCTCTTTAAGAGAAGCAGGAACTGGGGAAGAGCAGACATAAAAATCCATACAATTCTCAATTATTATTTTTATATCTTGTTTTAATAAAGTTAAAAATATTCCTCAATAAACAGATTTTTTAAAATGACAAGTAGTTATCAAAATGTCAAAAATAGGTGTCTTGGGGGGGGGGTTGAAGAAATTCAAGTAATTTCAGTTGACATAGGTCATTCTAATTACAGCAGCAGCAGAACAGAACTAATCTTTTTAATATCTCCTGTCGTTCTCTGTTACCATACTCTGCCGTGACAGCAATAGTTTAAAAATAAACACAAGAATCCTTTAATGTTGGCTTTGTGTGCTGGGACTTCTCTACAGCATCCATAACTTGATGAGTTCTAGATGTGTTAACTGCAACCCCAACTTTCCTTTCCAACACCTGTGGGAAAGATGGGAATTTTATTCTCTATATATGGAGGGATGGAGGGAAGTGGGAGGAGGATGACTCTGTTAGGTTGTAATAAAGAGTTACCAGAGTAAAAGTATGCTGTGATCAGCATATAATGAAAGTGGTTAAGTATTTACCCATGTTTCCACAGAGTGGAAGGGAATATTTCATTTTCTTTGACTGCCTTTTCCTTCAGTACTTAGTCACTTGGAAATGGGCTTTATCCTTTTGCTTAAGCTCTCAAACATTCTTTAAGGATGAGTCACTGACAAGGGGGAATCTCTCTGTACAAGCGGTCAGTGAATTCCAAATGCTACCTTCTCTCTCTAATTTCTTTTGGGAAAAGCAACATTCAGACTCACTCCTGTTCCCATCTGGGTTCTCCTGGGAAACTGTTGCATTTCATCTCCTATTTGCCTGGTTTTAAACAGTTTACCTGAAGTTTATTTTACATTCCCATTCCTGAGTTCAGGTTCAGTGAGTGCATTTCACTGAGCATTAAAGGCATGAAGGAAGTTTGTTTTTGTTTCCTCCTTTCTTGCGAATTCAGCTCACTGGAGAGGAAAAAGAAAATAACATCCTCTGTTTTGTAAATGTTATTTTTTTTTTCCCATACATTTCCTTCAGCATGCATTGGAGAACTGTGTGCGTATGACCTTTTGGGGTATTAATAGTGCTCTCCAAACCACATGATATGGATTATTATCCCTTTAAATGTCTTTAATATCAAAGAGTAGATTTTCCTTCACTCATCCTTGAAGTACGTTCTGTGGGCAGTATTGGAAATGGTATTTTATGTTAGAATGGTATTTCTGTTTAATTATTTTCCAAAATTGAAATCGGAGGTACACTTTACTCTCACAGGCTGAAGAATGTACTTTTAGAAAAGGTGGCTGATGTTATTGTGGCTCTCTATCAAATATAAATGGATCATTTAATCCTCCCAGATGCAAAAACTTGGCAAAGCTACATGTATCTGATTGGAAGGTGGCAAGGCTACAGCTAGCAATACACCTGCAAAGAGACACTGCAAACAGTGTCTTCTATGTCTTATGCTCTAGGTTCACAGTGTCAAAACAACAACAAACAATCCTTTGGTATACTCTGAAGTATAATTGCACTGAGAAAGGGTCTCATAATGATTGATTATACCTGAGGTGCAGTTTGGAAAATGGAAATGTATTTATTACTTGAGAGCCAGTTAGGTGTAATGGTTAAAACACCAGGCTAGAAACTGGAAGACTCTGATTTCTTTCTTTTTTTAAAATATATTTATTAAAAATTTTGATTGCAGTAGTAAAAACTAATACAAACTAAACTTAAAGAAAGAGAAGAGAATGGAAAGAAAGAATAAAAAGTGCAGGAAAAAAAGAAAGAAGAAAAAGAAAAGAATATAATAAAATTTATAAACAAGTGACTTCCAACCTTCATCATAACAAGTATAAACAAATTTAATAACTCTTCAC